CCTCTGTGCTGCCTGGCATGACACATGATTATGATGATACTGGGAGAAAAAAATTAATGGTAATGTGTTAGCAAATACTGTTGTAAAGTGACAGAACTACATATGTGCTATCTAGTGGTTCTGATGTAGTGTAAAATAATTATATATTCACAAAGTGGTTATATTTCTGCTAGAAATCAAAACATCACATTCCACAGATTCAATTATCTTAAAAATGAACATGAGCGCATCTGATCAGAGAGGTCGTGTGGTTTATAATCAAACAATCTTTGAGCTCTGGTGAAGATAAATGACAACACAGGACATGGCACTCTTTTAGATGTCCACCCCATCTATACCTCAACGAGTTGCCTGGACTGAAACAACTATTTTGAAGATGGTTATAAAATTAATTACGCTTATTATAAGCAAGTGTTGTTCAAACTCTGGGCCATGGCCGACCAATGAGCCATGAAGAAGTTTCCCATGACCTACCCATGAGCCGCAGAAAATGTTCCCATGACCTACCCATAAGCCGCAGAAAAGTTCCCCATGACCTACCCATGAGCCGCAGAAAAGTTTCCTATGACCTACATATGAGCCGCAGAAAAGTTTTCCATGACCTACATATGAGCCGCAGAAAAGTTTCCCATGACCTACCCATGAGCCGCAGAAAAGTTTCCCATGACCTACCCATGAGCCACAGAAAAGTTTCCCATGACCTACCCATGAGCCGCAGAAAAGTTTCCCATGACCTACCCATGAGCCACAGAAAAGTTTTCTATGACCTACCCATGAGCCACAGAAAAGTTTTCTATGACCTACCCATGAGCCGCATAAGTTTTCTATGACCTACCCATGAGCCACAGAAAAGTTTTCTATGACCTACCCATGAGCCGCAAAAGTTTTCTATGACCCACCAATGAGCCGTTAAAAAGACCCCTGTGGCCCGCCAATGAGCCACGGAAAAGTCCCCTGTGGCCTGCCAATGAGCCACGGAAAAGTCCCCTGTAGCCTGCCAATGAGCCACAGAAAAGTCCCCTGTAGCCTGCCAATGAGCCACGAAAAAGTCTCCTGTGGCCTGCTAATGAGCCACGGAAAAGTCTCCTGTGGCCTGCCAATGAGCCACGGAAAAGTCCCCTGTGGCCTGCCAATGAGCCACGGAAAAGTCCCCTGTAGCCTGCCAATGAGCCACGGAAAAGTCTCCTGTGGCCTGCTAATGAGCCACGGAAAAGTCTTCTATGGCCTGCCAATGAGCCACGGAAAAGTCCCCTGTGGCCTGCCAATGAGCCACGGAAAAGTCCCCTATGGCATGCCAATGAGCCACGGAAAAGTCCCCTGTAGCCTGCCAATGAGCCCCGGAAAAGTCCAAGTGGGCCGCCCTAAAATTTTGCTTAATCAAGTAACTAGACAGAGTAGGTGGTTATTTTTCTTCCAGTCTGTAGGATTAAAACTCAGGGACTGAATGTTATTGTAATGCTCTGTATATCAGAAACAATTGTTCAACTTCTAGGTAGCAGAAGGTGTCACAATTGCTGAAAATTGTAATTTTGTGACATGTAAGAAATGTACAAATGGCCACTCATTTCTTATTTATACTTCATCTCAACATCCTTAAGGTAGAAGAGGAACAAGATTATATGAGATAAGATGAGGAAATTTAATTTAAATAAAAATCAAGTTCATACACAGAATAAACTATTATATTTTAATTCCTCTGGAACTCTGGCACCATATTATACGAACAAACCCCTATTCCGTACTAATATATTAAAATTCGCCTTTAGCTTGGTAGGGTTATTATGAAAGATGTAGGTAAATGTGACACAATAATTGAAGAGATTTTTAGACAATCTTTTTGTTTTCTTTAGGCTTTGCAATGCTTTTTATTCAATGTGTACTGCAGAATTGTATTCTTATAGTGTTAATGACTTAAATTAATATAATAAACAGAAAGATGTTAAATATTGAGAGAGTATGGATTCACATAACAGAAGAAGTAAAGTATTGTACACCATATGTAGGTTAATCAATAAAGATATTGAGGCACCTGTTCCTGTTAGGGTGAAATTCAGTCTTTAAGATTTATATTCAATGTCAGTCACTATTTGTATGTATCTCAGAAGATGCTGAGCTGGCAGTCAGAAAGCTGGACTCCAACTGTTTGACTGGGACAGAAAGACAAATCCTAATCTGCAGTCGTGATCACTACAGAAACCACACCATTTTAACCCTTCAGAAAAGACCCATCTGTTCTACATCACCCTACAAAATGGCACACACAAGCATTAGAGACAGTTTTGTTTTTTCCACAATCTGTGTGTTGTTCAGCACTATCTATATCAATGATACTCTAACATGCTAAACTAATACGTGAGTACAGAATTGATAACATAGGTCATAAAAAATGTTAGATTACTGACAGTGCTATTTTCAGTAAACAAGCTTGCACTGCACATAAAGTGAGTTGCATAATATATAGCATGAGTCCAGAAAACATGAGTCTAACCACAGCCACTGGACAACTCATGATCAGTCAATGAGGATCTCCTTACTGAGTGGACACAAGGAAATTAGTGATTTCTTACACATTCAGACATGAACTATTAATTCATAAACAGAACAACTATGTTAGGTTAAAAAATAGAAGAAATATTAGTAGAACTTTAGAACCCAAAAAAAAAACTAAAAAAAACTTGCTGACATTTATAGACACAACATTGGTATAAAATACTTTCTGACTGTCACATTTCTTATACCCATTTACTAGTTCCCTGACCCAGGATCAATGCAGAGGACGTTCATGGCTAGACAGCTCAAGAGGTTTAATGCCTGCGGTAGGAAAAATTGTATCAGTTATGAGTGGGGTTATCCTCATGGCACTCTGGACATGTCCTTAGGTGTTCAGATCCCTTCATCGGTGTTCTGTAACTACAGTGTCAGTCCTAAACTGGCTGTCAAGACCTTCCACATATCTGGTGTGCCTATTGTGCCTAGCAGATCTTTACTCCCACATTTCTCACTCTTAGCTGCAATGTGGTCATACTGCCCTCCAAAGTCCTCCAATCAAACTTTCTTTAAAATAACTATGACTAATGATTTGCACCTTTCTATATTTCCAGATGAAAGTGTTATACTATATTGTGCTATGAGGAGGCATTGAACTCACAGCCCATGGTGAAGGCGAGTAGCAAGACCTGCCCACGTTCAGAATTATAGCATGGGATTTCAGGACCGTTGTTGTCAACATTTGTGCTCAGTGTGTTTCTTCTCAGATGCTCAGCTCTCATCCTTTCTGCAGTAATTTCTTCCTTCATTCTCACACTCTTCCTGATGTGCTCCCTCCACACAACACAGTCCACAGCATTGTGTTCCCATGAGTCCACCTCAATACCTGTATCATTCATGTCATGTCATATTATGTAACATTACAATAGAATTGTGGTAAAATGATCAGTAATAATCTTCAGAAAGTACAAACACAAATTAACAAGCATTGTTCTGTCTGTTCATTATAACTGTGACTAATTCAACAACATTTCACTTCAGAAAAATGTATATGTGCTCAGTTTTCCTTAGTGAAGTATTTTCATTGAGTGCTCCAGTATTTCCGTGGTCAGGAATGCAACCTCTCAGTACTTCAGTACCGCTCTTCCCTACCAAATTTTAGCTCCACGTCAAGCAGCCTTTATCTATTAATTCAGTGTGTGTCTGAGTGCAAGCGTGCGTGAGTATGTATGTGTGACACTGTACAAGATATAGCAAGTTTGTTATTGCCATATTTAACTTTTATCTACTTTCAGCGTCCTTATATTACGTGCTACTGTATAAGCATCTCCTAAATGCTACATTGCTATGTAATCAAGACAGCAGGCTGAATTACACATGTAATTTCTACACCAGTGTTTATCAAACCCTTTTCAAAACTTTTAGCGCAGATGCTAGACCCACATTTTATAGACCAACTGAAACTAGGGTGATGTGGTCAAAAATATGCCAGCAATATGCCATTTTTGTGGTTTTTGGACAATGGTACGAGAGTTGTACTGTGGAAGAGATTGGGGCATCACCATGTAATATCCCAAAGAGAACAGTGATACACTGTAGCTAACCTTCATCATGAAGACAGCACCCAATCTGGGTTTTTTTTTTTAAACTTCCCAGGAAATTTTGTGGGTGTATCCATTTCTGGCTGGGTTAACAGAGGAGCCCCAGGTCAATCACTGAAATGTGCTTCAATACAGATTCTAATCTACGACTTTTGGGCCAACAGTCAAGAGTAATGTGTCAAGCCAATAACTGACATCACAGCACTCAGGACATTCCCATAAGTGCACTGTCCTTATCTTCAGCAGCCAGCAAGAAGAGATCCAATTCCAACCAGCGGAGAGTTCCAATCTCCATTGTGCCAGTAGCAGTTTGATTATATGTCCGTCTTACCCAAAGTTTAGGTGTAGAGTGTCTACCAGATCTCTTGGTCACTGCTAGCTGTACCATTCTCTCCAGACCATAATGATCTGTTTGTGACTCTGCATTGTTCACTTTATCCCAAAGGGCTCTGACTACTTCTAACTTGTCAAGTACAAATTCACCACCCATTGGTCACCAAACAGTCAAGCCACTGGCCCACCAGTCAAGCCACTGGCCGACCAGTCAAGCCCCTGGCCCACCAGTCAGGCCACTGGCACACCAGTCAGGCCACTGGCCTACCAGTCAGGCCACTGGCCCACCAGTCAAGCCACTGGCCTACTAGTTATTGAACTCGTTGGGAAGTTAATCTTTGATCACACGACACACATTCATGAAAATAATGTCAGTAAGAAAATAGTCTAGGCAAAATTTAAATTCTTAAATATCACACTATATGAATTCACAGTGGATTAGTATTATCCGAGCCTGCATCACAAAAACACAGCTACCAAACCCCAAGCAGGATCAGGAACCACGTGTGATGAATCTTGCCCTATCAAGAAACACTGACAGCATTCACAGCTGATCCTACAGTATTTTAATGTGTCACTTCATCCAAGAGCATTCCAGTCTAGTGGTCGAATTGATACAGTTGATTTAAGAATGGTCATCTGATCAATGTGTTGGTCTGGTAACTGGGCTATGGCTTCCTGAAGGCCTCCACTCAGCAAGGGGTGTATACATACACATATGGCTGGACGGCTCTTTTTGTACCTGAAATGTATAGGCAAAGGATGCTAGCACACTTCTTTTTGTACCTGAAATGTATAGGCAAAGGATGCTAGCACACTTCTTTTTGTACCTGAAATGTATAGACAAAGGATGCTAGCACACTTCTTTTTGTACCTGAAATGTATAGGCAAAGGATGCTAGCACACTTCTTTTTGTACCTGAAATGTATAGACAAAGGATGCTAGCACACTTCTTTTTGTACCTGAAATGTATAGGCAAAGGATGCTAGCACACTTCTTTTCAGAAGACAGAAATTCACTAGCTTCAAAATATTCAACGAAAAACAAAAAGGCTTTTTCTTTAGGAGAGGGGGAGGTTTGACATACACCATCTGCCTCCTTCAGAAGTACAGAGAATAAGTTCATTGCAGACTTCCTGTTATAAGAGAAGGGACTGGATACCTTGTCTGCTAAGGAAAATCTCATAAGAGCTACTGTTTCATTTACAATATGCCATCAGTGTCAAACAATGACCATTACAGACACAAATAAGTGTAAAATCATATCCCACTAAAAGAAGAGATGTCTTAGAAAAGCCCTGTGTATAAGTGGTACAACAGGATAATGATTTAACAAACAAATTAATTAATTAATGAACAGTAGTATAGTGGGTAGACTACTGGCTTGCAGTATAGGACATTCATTTCAATCCTTAGTTGCAGAGACTCTCTTACCCGAACAGCCCCAGAGTTAGCACAGCCCCATAGAATGTGTACTAGAGATTTCTCTGGGAAGGAACACAGGTAAGGAAGGGAACTGGTCACCACTGATCATCCCAATACTAGAACTGGCATATGTGATGACCTTGTAGCACACATCATGATGGCAATGTCGGGTGTGGCATCACTTTCACATTTTATATATTCAAATTAATCAAGTATAATAATTTGGAGATTGAAAACTATTTTATTTTAAAAGAATAAAGCAAACACAATGTACCTGCTGATGAGATAAGCTTGCAGACCTCTGCAGACACTCAGAGATCTACCTGTATACAGCTGAAAACAGATGAGCTTTTCAACCTACAGGAAGCACACACAAATTTAAAAAATAATCATACACCTAATTCAGAGAATCACATGTCACAGACTTCACAAAGTTAGAACAAAGTGTTGTTGCCTACTTTTAAGTGGTCCCAGTTCAATCCCCAGAAATAGCTGCAAGGTTGACCCAGTCTCATAAATGCAGGTACCAGATAGTTTCCAGAAGTGTCTGGCAAATGTTGGAATACATGGTGACAGAGGAAGGCAACTGGTCACCTCACCTCATATATCACGGTCTAGAATGTGTGAAGGTCTAGCACTTCACATTAAACAGAAAAATCTGACATGGTACTACCTTTTCAACAAATTAAATGTTGGCTGCTGCATATTTCAAACAGCTTCCAGTATTCACACGTAGGCCACTATTTTATCATTTCTTCAGTGCTCATCAGTGGCATACTTTAAACATATATTGTAACTCTATGTCTTTAAATTTCATCTTGTTATCCTCTTGACAGACACTGATGAACCAGTTTAATAGTGTAAATGTCTAAAATCAGACTCTTAATTTTCCAAACAATACGAGGATGGAGTGAACAAATGTGGTTGTTATGTCAACATCAATTTCTCATTACACTGCTTTCCCACAAATATTAGGTCTTAGGTTAACATATGTAACTGTTGTGTCTACAAGACAAGGTGTAACATCACCAGCTTATTAAATTACTTTCATAACAGATATATTAACAACACAAGGTGTAACATCAGGAATTCATCAGTGTGTTTCCTAACATTACAATGATGGGAGTGGGTCAACTTAGCAGTTATGTTAAGAGAAAATGTTTAAGTGTCTTTTCTTAAAAAAACAAGATCAGATGAGTTTAAGCTGAGAATGCAATTATATTTTTCCAACAATAAAAGATTTTTAGTCTCATGAACCATAAAAGCACATTTACTTACCAAAGCTAAAGAAAGTTTTCAATGTATTCAAAGATCTTTGTGGTTATTTAATCAGTTATCTTCCTTTTCTCGTTTAAAAAGAAAAAAGAAATGCCAAAGTTGTGTGATGACTGACAATGTCAATAGACTTAACTCTATAACAGCATTACTTTATTCCATAATCATGAAATAAGCATCTAAAAAAACTACCTTTTCAAAAAAATCCTTGACTCCTTCTGTGTCCATTGTTCCATTTTTGGCAATGATGCAAACTCTTTCCAAGGTAGAACATCTGGACATGGCAGTCAGCATCGTGTCATCGATCTTCAAGTACGGATGTTCTAGTCTGCATACAAAAACAGGTTCAACACAATACAAACAACTTTCTCTGTGTAGATTCTGGTGTCTAAACAAACTCGTCATAAAAGGTGACTAAAGGGTTTGATGAATTGGAGCCAAAAGATGTAGACACAGCGGCATAGCTGTAAGCCATAATACAATTAGGGCACCACCTTTTTTTAAACTGGCAAATACAGAAGGTGAAGTGGGGAGTGGGGGGGGGGGGGGGGGGGGCTTCAAGAGACATATAAGGTTCTGGTTCATGCTTCTCTGGCTGCCTCAACCATCGACAGCTGATACTACTGTAGAGCTTCTTCAAAGACATCTTCCCACCTTATTCTTCGTCTATCTCAAGCTCTATGGCCCTCTCCTCTTTTGGTATAAACTTTGCACTGTATGTCATCGCAAGACATTCTCTCTAGGTTGGTCAACTTTTAAAAATTTGTCTATGTCAGTGGTTGGCAAACTATTTAGTTGAAACATCAAAAAATCAGCAGCAGGACGATTAAATCGTTTGTGAGTCAAATTTCTTTTCGAGAACCTATCAATAACCATGTTTTTCGGGGCAAAAACGATTTGTGACCGACTGGCCAAGCCACACTCAGGTCACAAAAGAGCTGCATGTGGCTCTCAAGCTGTGATTTGCTGATCACTGGTCCAGGTATCTAATTAGTAAGAGTATTGGTTATATGCCAACGTTTTCTCTTATGACAATATTTCCTATTTTATATCCATCCAGTTGTCACTCTCGCAGCCACTGAAAAGAATACATAAACTAAAATCACACCAATAAATAAGCCATTCAATAATACATTTGTTTTCTTGAAAATTAAAATCCTGCATTTATAATCAGAGCTGTGTGCTGTAAAACAAAAACAAAAATATGAAGCTAACAATTATAAAATAATTATGACAATTAGAATGTAGTTTTAGCTACTATAGCCTTCTATCTTTGCAATAAAGGTCACTGGGACATCCAACACATAAAATACTGTGTATGATCTACTCCCATACATGTCCGTTTCATGGCATATAGTACAAATTTTAGAATTTTGAAACGCCACATTTTCAATTTCAGAATGCAACATACTGCGTGAAATGCATCACCCAAACACACACCAATCAAAACACAGAATGATGCAATAATTAATAAAAAGCAAACTCTCAGAGTGTGAACAAGTACTTTCATCCCTGCAGCAGGCCTTGAAAGTGCATTAACAATGCAGATAACTTGTGCTATATCTGCGGTAAAGTGACATTTGCAAGCCAGAAATAAGTCATCACAGCAATACTGAACAAGGCTTATTACTGTTATTTCTGATGCAAGATCAGGGACAAGGATGAGGCCTTGGTCTCATACATATGCTGCAACATCTGTGTAAGAAAACTTCTAAAGTGATTGAAAAGGTAAAAATGTATTGATGCTATGTCCAGTTCCTTCGGTATGGAGAGCCCAGTAAATATGTAAATTCTTCTTCTTCTTCTTTCTTTTGTTTGCTTGAAATAGATTATCTATGTTTGCAATGTCGTCTCTAATATGAACTTCATTGTCTTATGTAATTCACTCAGTGACCCGTAAAGTTTGACTTGCACCAATGCTTCTCTTGGCTAAAAGTTTTGCCTTGATATGTTGTATTTGGGACAGTCTTGGAGGACATGATCTGTTGTCTCAAGTGCCAAGCCACATGTGCACATGTCTGATTCGTCAATTTAAAATTTTGTGTACATGTGGCTGTGAAGTCGATTGTGTTCTGTTCTAAGGCGTAGAACAATAACTTGCTCTGGTCTGTCCATAAAATGGTAATCGTCTTGTGACGGTTTTGGTGGCTTTCTGACTGATTTGATTATTCTCTTCTTTTGTTGATAAGAGACTGGTACATCAGGTTGTTCTTCATTTGCTAATTTATCAGCTCTTTCATTTCCAGGAACTCCACAGTGTGACGGTATCTACTGCATAGTTACCTTACACTGGATGCCTAGTTTGGAGAGTAGTGTTCGTATGATAGGTAGTTTTCCAGATTGGAGTGCCTAAAGCACTGCTCTTGCATCTGTCAGAAATACTACGGGTTGTGAAATATGACGTATATTTAACAGTTTCTCTGTTGTTATTCTGACGGCTTGAACTTCTGCATCATAGTTATGACAGTGCTTTCCTGTAGGTATTTTGGCTGTATATCTGGTATTATTTTGAAGCTCAACATACACTCCTGCTCCTCCATTTCTGCTTGTGTTTTGTGCTGACCCATTTGTATAGACACGAACCCAAAGATTATGTGGGTATTCATCATCAAGTAGAGCTAGGGTGGCTGTTTTACGCTGCACATTGTTTTGTTCTTCCTTGTCGAACACTCCTTTCACTTCTGTCTGGATGTGTATTGGCAACTTATAATTCTCTTATCAAGGGGTCTAATCTGGAATAGCATTTAAGGGGCTATTAGTTGCAGGCAGATCATTGGTTTGCCTGCAGAGTCGTTGCGCCTTGTGGATGAAACTGCTTATTTTTAGTCACCCTATTACTAGATTTTGGAATCTTTCTATCAAAGGGTGTTCAGGCATGCTAAGAAACTTTTCTGCTTGTATTAGTATCTTAGTGTCTCTTTGTTCTGTCAGTGTTTGAGTCATCACTATCTTCTCCATCACAGCTATAGGTGTTGATTTCATCCCGCCTGTTATGACTCTGAGCGCTTTATTTTGCACCTTGTCTAACTTTTGTAGTGGGGTTTTTGATGCTGAACTCCATGCAGTTGACTCATGTTCAAGATGTGGTCGTACACTTTGTTGATAAACTTTCATAAATATTTTCCCATTTGTGCCCCATGTTGTTCCACTTAGTTTTCTTAGGATAGCTATCTTCCTTCTGGCTTTGGTTGCTGCCTTGTTGATGTGTTTTCTCCATGTTAGCCTATCATCAGACATGACTCTGAGGTATATGGGCTCCTTATCCTCTCTTAGTGGTAAATGACTGCTAGTTCTGCATGGTTCTACCTACGTCCTACATCAGGAGGTGTCAGGAAAACAAAGAATATACAATCTGCTCTACCATCAGTTTCAGATAGTGAACGGATTCCCATTTCCGAACCTCTGAAAGACATTGCCATTGAAGAGTTCAGCTTTAAAAGAGAAAGAACCAATACCAACTGCTCCACAGCCTTCATCGTCTTATGATGATCCATTCATGTGCCAAGGTGCCTCACCTGTACCACACATTGCTACCCAAGAACAAGTGAACGTTCCTGTTTCGATCTGGAGCTGTTAGTTAGTTAGTTAGTTAGTTGGGTTATCCTCATTGCACTCCGGACATGTCCATAGGTGCTCAGATCCTCCCCTCAGTATGAACCCCAACGTCCGATGGCTAACAGTACCAGTTCTATGTTGATTAACAAGTCTTCTGGCGTGTCTGGTGTGCGTCTCGTTTTTTGCTGTACCGATCTTAATTCCCAAGTCTGCCTTTCTGGCGAGTGATGTTGATTCACTGCCACCAAAGTCCTCTATCCTTCACATTTCTCTGAGGGCATTGATAATATCAGCATGATCCATAGGCTGACCGTCGGTAGTGATAGCGGATCCAGCCAACCTGTCAGCTCTTTCATTTCCATCGACGCCTGCGTGTCCCGGAAAAAAAATAAAGGTGACTCCACGCACAGTGGACTTCTGTAATGTTTCAAGCCATTGTCTTCGCACTGAACCTGCCCGAACCCTCCGGATCATACTCATTGAATCACTGAGTATACACACGGGTGTATTTTTGTGTTTCAAGCCAGGCAAGCGCTTGCGTCACTGCCATCACCTCCATCGTCATGCTGCTGGTTGTCATGGAGAAGGCGCCGTTGGCTTCTTTGACTGTTCTGCCCGCTGAGCGTGCTGTAAATGCCCATGCGCTTCTTCTTTGGCGTATAACGGATCCGTCTGTATAGATTATTGCATCTACTTCGTCTGAATTTTCACCGATGAGAGCGTTGACCTCTGCATTAACAGCAACAGGATTCTCTTCTCTACATCGCCTGTTGAGTGTGACAATACAGGAAAATGTACAAATAAACGCCTGAGGCACAGGTATCCATTCTACACCAGGTATGATGTCAGTTAGGCTGCATATTTGCCTAATAACATCTTCTGCCCGACCTAGCCACGATTTTCCCCTCTTCAGTCTGTCGCCCTTTTCACTAAAAAGCGCTTGATGCAGTGGGTGTTTCTTATCAGCACATATTTTGAGATATGCCCGTGCCCTCCACATCCTGATCCTTTGGTTCATTTTTGGAAAGTCAAGTAGATACCTCATTGCTCCACAAGATGTGTCTCTTGTACATCCCAAAATAATGTACATGGCTTCATTTTGCACCTTTTCGAGTCGTTCAATCTGGGTAGCACTGACAGTGAGGATGGCCAGAGCGTATTCAATGGGGGAAAGGACCAGACCGTAGAATAGAAGTATTAGTAGTCTTTGCTCTATATTGGAAGCAGCCATAATCCTCATTGCAGATAGACCTTTGCGTGCCTTTGTTATCACATGGTAAACGTGTTCCCTGAATGACAAGCTGCGATCGAACCTCACCCCGAGAAACGCCATAACATTGGTTCTGATCAATACACTATCACGCATTTTCACTCCTGGTAAGTCCGACTTGACAATGTGATTGTTCAAAGAGAACCATGACACTGATGCCTTCAAAGGATTGACATAGGCATTGGAACCATCACACCAGGCGGCAATTCGATCGAGTTCTTTGTGTATAGTGATGGCGATCTCCTGTCTATCACGCCCTCGTCGATAAATCAAAATGTCATCAGCAAATGACAAAGTCCTTCCCTTTCTATTCAACTGCTGCTCAGTGATCATCACCGTATAAACGTTGAATAAGACTGGTGATAGCGGTGATCCCTGTGGCAAGCCTGGACATATCGTTTGCGGTTCTGAGGACCAGCTACCACATCTTAGTACAATCTTTCTCTGGAACAGAACCGCAGCAATCCAGCGGATCAGAATAGGATTAACTTCTAGTTTAAGCAGTAATTGGTACTTTATTGTAGGCATCTTCTAAGTCCAACACTGCCGCACATGTCTCTTCTTTAATCAAAAATCCCTCGTACACATCGTAGGCGAAAACTGCAGCATTGGACCATGTCTCTTTATTTAACCTGTACCCTCCAAGTGTTGGTGGCAACTTATCATGTAGTTCCAAGTAGGTGGTCAATCTTTGTGCGACAATTTTTTCCAAAAGTTTGCCAACAGTATTCTGCATCGAGATGATTCTGTAGCCGCAGATCTTTGAGTGGTCTTTATTAGGCTTTGGTAGTGGGAACAAATAACTATGGAGCCATTCCTCTTGTATCTGGCCACTCTGGATGCTGATATTGAATTCCTTTGCCACGCTTTTCAAATCAGTATTCGACATCATCAGCATGTCATTGTATCGGATGCCGTCAGGGCCTGGAGCAGTGCTGCGTGATTTCTTGAGGCAACTTCTTAAGCTATCTGCAGTGATTGTGAGATCAGTGCCTAGCACAGTGTTCTCGCACAGCATCGACAGTTTCATCTTAACCCCTATTCTTGTAGCTTCGTCTTTTTGGTCAGTTTGCTCCAAGTAGCGCGTCAGAAGGGTTTTTCCTTTATCAGCATCAGTTCTCTGCCATATCAGGTCTGTACCCTGAAAATCAGGGATACCCCTTGGTCGTGCGGCACCGTGCATGCTCCGTTGAAGGCGCCAGAATGTCACAAGAGATCCCTCGGAGCAAACGCTCTTGCAGAATTCGTTCCATTTCGCTGTCTTAGCTTCCTTCGCAATTAACTTGAAAGCTACTGTCTGCTTGTTGACCTCATCTTTCAGACTGATCAGGCGTTCAGAAAGTGACGGATCAATTTTCCTTGCCTTTTGCCATGCCTTGACCGCTTTCCTTTTTTCTAGCCACGCCATGTTGACTACTTCATTCCACCATAGTGGCTGGGCCCATCTCTCCCGCCGTCTGCGATCTGCTCTTGTTTTACGTCATCGGAATTTGCTAATGGCATCTTGCCCTGTACGGTCATATATAAAAGCAGGCACATTGATTACATGACCTTTGTTGTTGCTCTTCTCTACCAGGACGACGCAAGGAAAGTGATCACTGTCGTGGTATCCCAGTGTGCTCCACCTGCATCCTGATGCAATGGAGGGAGATACTAGGGCCAGGTCAATTACGCTGTCAGAATCCCCTTGTCGTGTTGCCATTCGGGTAACCTTTCCGTCGTTCAAGCATACTAGATCAGCAGACACTAGGGCATCCTCCAGGTGTTCCCCCTGTTTATTAGTGATTACATTGCCCCACTGGTTTCCTCTGGCGTTGAAATCTCCGCAGTAAAGGACTTTCTTTTCCTTCGCCTGGAGCAAACTCTGCCATTTCGCTGTAACCACCTTTCCATTGCAGGCGTACACATTGACAATCACAAACTGGGCCGGGCCCATCACTCTGACTGCGTGCACTTGTAAGTCCACCTCAGACACTGGTATGTGGTCACGAACAAGAATGAGCTGTCCGAGGTGCCGTCTATTGTAGAAGGATTGGAAGCCCGCAATTTTAACGATGATCTGTCCACAGGCAAAGCGGAGTTACTTGGATCAAGACTTAAACAATGGAATATCATCAAGGAAAATTTCAGCATACTTTTTTTGGGGGGCACTTGCGCATTTACTTTAGAAAGAAAATGACTTTGTATTCTGCTCTGATGCAGACGGTCTAACTAACCGCTCTTATAATCAAACATGACCCACAAGTATTGTGACCATTAATAGACTCAAAACTGAATCTTAAGGCAGTGCTTTTGCATAATGGAAACCGATATGCATCTATTCAGGTCAACCATGCTGTCTACCTGCAAGAAACATCTGACACAGTACAACCTAAAACAGCTGGTGCACTGATTCAATGCAGCAAGTACTGCTGGCATCTCTGCTGTAGCTTGAAAGTGGTAGCTCAGCTGATGGGTCTAAAAATGAGAGGAACAATACCAAGGAAACTGGACCACTTCCATGCTGGCTGATTTCTGTTGGACTCTCATCACAGATTATCCTAAGCAGCTACACAGATGTCAGGCAAAGCAACACAGGAAGGTGAAACAGTATTGTACCATTATATATGATGTGTCCATCATAGTACTCTGTACTTCTTATTGGTTACTTGCTCAGTGACTGTCAAAGCAATCAGTGATGAACATAATATGTGGCATCTCTTTTAAAATCAAAAAACTCATTTGCTGATGTTCAGTGACATTTGTTATGCACACACACACACACACACACACACACACACACATCTACTGGGCTTCATTCCCATCAGAGCTTGTCGGAAAGAAACCCAGTCTCTAGCCAGCTCTCAGGCCTCATGTACTTTTCCACCCAAGGTGTCTCTCATGTCCCATGTCCATCGTCCACCCCCTGCACCTCTTTTAACTGGTACTATGCCTTCAATTTCCTTTCTTTCCAATCAACTATGACGTTTGAAATGACCAAAGTTCTTCATTTTTCTAGTCAAGATGCTGTTTATGAGCCAATTTTCCCTGGCGTTTAGATATTTAAGAATGTCAACACTTCTTCTCTGAACCTGTCAAAATCTACTCAAAGTTGTCTGCTGCCAAACTGCCCACAGCTGACTTCAAATATTGGTATGTCAGTATAGTGAAACAGCATTCCCAACCCCTAAGTCAAAGAGTAGACTGAAAAGAGAAAATAAAAGCAACAAATATCACCAACTGTGACACGGATATGCTACCTGAAATCTTTGAGCTGTGAGAAAAATGGGAAAGCTGCCAAAAGACCACTCCTATACAAACAATGTGCTATCTGACCAAGGCAAGCAATAGAAAGCTTCTCCAGAGACACACAGCCTTTGGCTATTGCTAGTAGACAGTGTCCTTGGTTTACTCCTGTACAGAGAAAAATAACATTATTAGAAGCACTAATAATATGACCGTAAACAGCAATATATTCAATAACAAAAAAAAACATAGAAAATATGGAGGCTAGAAGTGATATCCACATCTGAAGTAAATGAAACTAACTTCCCATGTGAACATCCAGATTGCTCACCCAGAATTCAATACTGGGTTCTTCTTACGTTTTTCAGCTAAACAAACCGTGGCTGGCCTTTCATTCATGCTTTCTGACCTTTCATACGCGCTGGTCTATGTTACTGGAGTGTCAAGCAGCATTGACTTCAATGCTCTCACCGGCGATGTCGAATGTTCTATATTACACGATGTGACCATTTTTACAGAACACCTAGAACTGGTTCTAACGCCCAACCCCCCTACTCCACAGCCTTAGCTAACGTCCCAAAAGAGAGTGCAGCCTACAACCCATGTCATATTCCATTTTCTTCGATGCCATCACCGGCAATATCCGATGTTCTAAATTACACGATCTAACTATTTTTAATGACCCCAAAACATCTAGAACTGGCCTTAACCCCAACCCCCTATCCCACAGCCTCAGCCTACGTCCCAAGAGAGAGTGTAACCTTCATTCTGTGTTAACATTTTCCGCTGTGCCCTAAAAAGCTATCTTGCTGCAGAAAAACAATGCTGCACTACTTGTCACTCATCAATGCTGACAGTTGAAGTAATTTCATGCCCTACATGTTATTGCAGGCTAAGAATAATTTTACTTATTATCAAATTTCACATGTATTATATAAAGTAACAGTATTATCATATTATTGCCTTAACTGTCTTTTAATTTAATATCTTGTAAATATTTGATAATCTAAATGATAATTCCCCTAGACATCTATCTCACACTCAATTACAAGACTAAAGATATAGAGTAATATATGTATATAGTAGTAACCTTAATAAATATACCTGGTATTGACGTTAGCTGCAAGGATTTGAGATATTTCCATCTTCCTATACACATCAGTTCTTGATCTCCAACAGTCAGTGAGAACATGCTAAAACACAAAACAATGATCTACCTCATATAGTCAAGAAAATTAACTAATTAAGACAAATCATTCAGGCAACCAATTACTTTTTAGTGACAATATCTTAACCACCTAAAAGAAGAGTTGCAAAATGACTTATAGACATGAAAGAAAATATAAAGCAACTGGTTATCAGCAATGAAACTTTGTGAAAACTTGTGTACTAAATTTAAAGGTTAAAGTTGTGAACTTATGTACTAAAAGAACCCCAATTACAAAATTGTTAATATCATCTGGTAGCTAGTCCTCTGAAGAACATCCCTCCCATAATGGCTAGCCAGAAAGCCACTTGACACTTTGCCTTTCTCTACCGTAATTGCCTACTGTAATGTTGTGTCCAATGTGTCTCCAAAACCCACTGTGCGCCTTCATGTTAGTCAATCTGTTTCTTCCTCTAGGAACCTTGCATTCCCTTAAGGTTCCTTCTGAACTAATGGGTGGATTGATATGTATGAAGTATTTCATTTGTTGATTATGAGTCAGTTATGTCAATGTTGAGATCTTGTAGAATGTCCGATTATTCTTCTTGATCCATGAAAACATTACTCACAAACAGAACTAATTAGGGCATCAAAAGCAGACAGCCCATATTATTTACAAACATTATGTGATGGGGAAAGCTGCAGTTCTTCAATGCAACAGAAAAGTTGGGAGGGGAAAAGAAGTCAAGGAAGACTGAGGGAGAGAGGATGAAAGAACAGAAATAACTAGAGAACAAAAATAACAAACAAATGACAAGATAAAAGTCTTGGGACAGATCTGATTAAAAACATCACATGACACTGATAATAACAAGATGATGCATGATATTCTAAGGAATTATGTCCTTGTTGAAATCCCCTTTGATTATTACAATGTTTTTATTTGTTTTCCCCCTTTCTCTAACATCAGATGTCTACTGTTAAATTTGTAAACATCAGTTCCTTTCTGATTAAAACAATGGATACACTGACAAAGAACATACCATGGGCTTGATGTGCAGGTGGTAGGGTGGACACCGAAGTACTTGTTAAAGGCAGACCTGAAGCCTGAACAGTTCAATTCAAAGTTTTCCATGTGGGGACAACTCCGAACTAACTTCTCTAGCTCAGGCACAAATGCTGACTCATCAGATACCGATGGTGAACTTGATGAGGGTGAAGATGACGGTGGAGATGATGATGCAGAAGGATCCTCTTGTGAAGTTGAAGGAGAGTTTGCATCCGGAAACTAGTGAGATAAAACAAAAAACATGACAAGCTTATATTCTGAACATTAAAACATCAGGTAAGCATTAATTTCAGGTAAAGCTTTAACTAAAACCTAACACTTATGTTTAATTGCCATACGACATTCTACTCTGCCTACACTAAACTAATCAACTACAGTACACCGTGACTCCACTACACTGCTCAACTACAGTACACCATGACTCCACTACACTGCTCAACTGCTGTACACTCTGCTTCCATTATACTGCGCAACTGCTATACACTCTGCCTCCATTATACTGCTCAACTGCTATACACTCTGCCTCTATTATACTGCTCAACTGCTATACACTCTGCCTCCATTATACTGCTCAACTGATATACACTCTGCCTTTATTATACTGCTCAACTGCTATACACTCTGCCTCCATTACACTGCTCAACTGCTATACACTCTGCCTCCATTATACTGCTCAACTGCTATACACTCTGCCTCCATTATACTGCTCAACTGCTATACACTCTGCCTCCATTACACTGCTCAACTGCTATACACTCTGCCTCCACTACACTGCTCAACTGCTGTACACTCTGCCTCCATTATACTGCTCAACTGCTATACACTCTGCCTCCATTACACTGCTCAACTGCTATACACTCTGCCTCCATTATACTGCTCAACTGCTGTACACTCTGCCTCCATTACACTGCTCAACTGCTATACACTCTGCCTCCATTATACTGCTCAACTGCTATACACTCTGCCTCCATTATACTGCTCAACTGCTGTACACTCTGCCTCCATTATACTGCGCAACTGCTGTACACCGTGATGCCATTACACTGCTCAACTACAGTACACCGTGATGCCATTACACTGCTCAACTACAGTACACCGTGATGCCATTACACTGCTCAACTACAGTACTCTGCCTTCATTACACTGTTCACAGTACTTTCTGCCTCCATACACTGTTCAACTACAGTACACTTTGCCTCCATACACTGTTCAATGACAGTACTCTCTGCCTCCATACACTGTTCAATGACAGTACTCTCTGCCTCCATACACTGTTCAATGACAGTACACTCTGCCTCCATACACTGTTCAACTACAGTAATCTCTGCCTCCATACACTGTTCAACTTCAGTACTCTCTGCCTCCATACACTGTTCAACTACAGTACTCTCTGCCTCCATACACTGTTCAATGACAGTACTCTCTGCCTCCATACACTTTTCAATGACAGTAATCTCTGCCTCCATACACTGTTTAGCTACAGTACTCTCTGCCTCCATACACTGTTCAACTACAGTACTCTCTGCCTCCATACACTGTTCAATGACAGTACTCTCTGCCTCCATACACTGTTCAACTACAGTACTCTCTACCTCCATACACAGTTCAATGACAGTACTCTCTGCCTCCATACACTGTTCAATGACAGTACTCTCTGCCTCCATACACTGTTCAATGACAGTACTCTCTGCCTCCATAAACTGTTCAATGACAGTACTCTCTGCCTCCATACACTGTTCAATGACAGTACTCTCTGCCTCCATACACTGTTCAATGACAGTACTCTCTGCCTTTATAACCTGTTTTACTACAGTACACTCTGCCTCCATACACTGTTCAATGACAGTACTCTCTGCCTCCATACACTTTTCAATGACAGTAATCTCTGCCTCCATACACTGTTTAGCTACAGTACTCTCTGCCTCCATACACTGTTCAACTACAGTACTCTCTGCCTCCATACACTGTTCAATGACAGTACTCTCTGCCTCCATACACTGTTCAACTACAGTACTCTCTACCTCCATACACAGTTCAATGACAGTACTCTCTGCCTCCATACACTGTTCAATGACAGTACTCTCTGCCTCCATACACTGTTCAATGACAGTACTCTCTGCCTCCATAAACTGTTCAATGACAGTACTCTCTGCCTCCATACACTGTTCAATGACAGTACTCTCTGCCTCCATACACTGTTCAATGACAGTACTTTCTGCCTTTATAACCTGTTTTACTACAGTACACTCTGCCTCCATACACTGTTCAATGACAGTACTCTCTGCCTCCATACACTGTTCAGTGACAGTACTCTCTGCCTCTATAACCTGTTTTACTACAGTACACTCTGCCTCCATAAACTGTTCAATGACAGTACTCTCTGCCTCCATACACTGTTCAATGACAGTACTCTCTGCCTCTATAACCTGTTTTACTACAGTACACTCTGCCTCCATAAATTGTTCAATGACAGTACACTCTGCCTCCATACACTGTTTAATGACAGTACACTCTGCCTCCATACACTGTTCAATGACAGTACACTCTGCCTCAATATACTGTTTCTTCACAGACCATTCTATCCACATAAACTGTCATATTATAAAGCACTCTGTCAACATACAAGGTCCGTTTGCAGTCCATCTATCCACACAGACTGTTCTTTTATTTAGCCCAATGACTACTAAGCCGGTTAACCCTTGCTTTTTCCCAGATACCACGTATTTTAGTAGAACTAAAAAAAAATGCCATAGCATCACAACTATTTCATATAAATTCATAATATTTTGCACATTTTGCTCAAATTGAATGGACAACAATCTCTAAAAATAAATAAAAATGATAAATTCTTGTACATTGGTGCAAAAAAGGCAACCAAAAAATAATTTTTTTTTATTTGTTGAAACAATACTGAATGAGAGCTCTGAGTAACTGTGAAATAAAATTCTGCAGCTTTTTGCCATTTTGCACCAAGACCTTCCATTACAGTATAACTGAATCGTCAAACTAAAACAGCTAAAACAAACAAAACAATCTTTTCCCAAAAAGAGCATCGTGGGAATGGCACTTGAGTAACCGTCGCGGATTGCACTGTAATACTATTTTCACTAAATTCTTAGCCACAGAGCAGTAATGTATACAATTTACACTAACAGACACATCTAAGAATACACACCTGAAGCATAAATTCTTAGCCCACAGAGCAGTAATGTATACAATCTACACTAACAGACACATCTAAGAATACACACCTGAAGCATAAATTCTTAGCCACAGAGCAGTAATGTATACAATCTACACTAACAGACACATCTAAGAATACACACCTGAAGCATAAATTCTTAGCCCACAGAGCAGTAATGTAAACAATCTACACTAACAGACACATCTAAGAATACACACCTGAAGCATAAATTCTTAGCCACAGAGCAGTAATGTATACAATCTACACTAACAGACACATCTAAGAATACACACCTGAAGCATAAATTCTTAGCCACAGAGCAGTAATGTAAACAATCTACACTAAAAGACACATCTAAGAATACACACCTGAAGCATAAATTCTTAGCCACAGAGCAGTAATGTATACTATCTACACTAACAGACACATCTAAGAATACACACCTGAAGCATACACAGGAAACAGTTTACACAAATTAATACAACATAGCACCTCTACCTCTGACTGCCACGCCACTGCTGTCAGCTAAATGTTGTTTTCCAGTCTCGACTATGCCGTTGATGGCAGAATTTGAGAATTATCAAAGTCACAAACATCAAACTGTTTAGAAATATCTTCGCCTCTACATTCTGATTTAAAACATTGAAGACAATATTTCACTGCTTCATAAAAATTCTCCAAACTGTTCCACTATGCCGGCTGTAACAATCAACCCTATTATGAAAACATGCGCCTAATGCACAGTCGACAGGGGAGCTTACCAAAAACAAAACAAAAAGAAATCGTGGAAAATTTACTTTAACCATTAACGAATTGTGTCCCGTAAATAAACATAAAGAAATGAATGGGCTAATGGCTTTAACAACATTTATTGCGAAAGTCGCAATTTTAACATGGCGGCGAGCGATCGCAGCCCTTTTAAAGTTATTTTTAATTGTTATTTTACAGTCCACTCTGTCCAAATAAATTGTTATTTTACAGTCCCCTCTGTCCATATAAATTGTAATTTTACAGTCCGCTCTGTCCACATAATTGTTTTTTTTTTTACAGTCCGCTCTGTCCACATAACTGTTATTTTACAATCCCCTCTGTCTACATAAATTATTTTACATTCTGCTCTGTCCACATAATTGTTATTTTACATTCCACTCTGTCCACATAAATTGTCCTTTACAAATGAAAACCACTACTTATACTGATAAGAAATACATCTCCCACTCCCCCATTTCTGTCACTCTCATACATACATACACCAACACACACAGCCAGCCACAGACACGGTGCGTGCACACACACATACATGTGCATGCAGACACACACACACGTAAGAGCACACATAAAACTTGAAAGAAAAACAAAAGAATTTAAATAAGAAACAAGAGACCCAATTACCGCAGCAAAATTTTGATTTGGTGCAACATTACTTCCAATTCTTCTGCGTTTAACTAGGTAACCCTCTGGGACCAGGGAAAATGTTCTTTTGCTGCTTTTAGGGCTTCTCTCTACACTCAAACAGCATGGAGACATAGACAGACATCTCCAGTCTGGTTGAAGGAAAGAATAAATCAATCACACAGTGTTTATGGTATAGGGTAATGTTACAAAAATTTGACATAATTGAAGAGTGGCTAACTCATTATGATATCTAACTCATGGACTGTGCAGATGTGGTTTGTTTCCTTGTCTGAACTGTATGAATGTGTCATAAAATATGAAAAAGTTAGTGCATTCCCCTGATCTGAGGAAAGCAGACAGGATCCTGCCTTCCTGGACAACAACAAAACAAACATGGATGACTTGTGTGCATGCTGTAAATGTTACAGATATTTCAGCAGTTTTAAATTAAAAATAGCAGGCCAAATATACCACTCATCAAAAGTCAATGCCACCATATTATTTCTAATACACTTTTATATAAGCGCATGAAATAATTAAATAATGAAATAAAGAAAGTTTTCAGTAAAAATGGATAAAATATCTTCCCATGACAGTCCTCAACGCATATGAAGCAAGAAAACAATGCAGTGACAACCATAGTGATCCAATGCAATTAATTTTGCTGACCATAAATTCATATTTTGAATATATTTTTTTTTCAAACTTTTGTACAACCAAACAGGTAAAGTAATCGTGCTGACTGACATTCCATGTGCAAAGACGACTGCTAGGATCAGAGTTAACTCTTAATTTGTTTAACAAACCACAGATTGTTGTTGTTGTTATTGATCCAGTGGCCCATGAGCTTTCGCCCTTTGGCCCAATGCCAAGTAGTGGAATTTACATGTTTTCAAAAGCTGTTCTTTTCCTCCGTACAAGGTGTTCCACCTGTTTGGTCTCTGAGGGAGTAGCATTCTTCTAGCCTCGTTGAGTTTTTGGCACTCAAAGAGATGATGGTCAACAGTTTCGTAGGGGTAGTTACATAGCTGGCACTCTGGGGAGTGTTGTGGCTGTATTCTGTTTAGGTGTCCATTGAGTGGAGTATGTTGTGTTCTGAGTCTGAAGATGGTGGCCTGGTCCCTTTTTGTTAAATGGTTAATGCTGTCCTTAGGATCAGGGCTAGCCATATGTCTATAAACCTCTCTTCCAGTATTTCCCATGGCCCATCTGTTCCAAGTCTCTTTGTTTATAGCTTTTATAAGTGTTTTTGCTGTCTGTAGGGTTGTCTCTGTAGGTGGTTGTTCTTGTGTTGCTCCTTTCTTTGCCAGTCTGTCAGCTCTGTCATTACCTTGTGTGCCGGAGTGGCCTGGAATCCACTGCATCACTATTCTGATGTTGTAGAGGTAATGAGCTGATCAGCATCTAGAATTATCCTAGCTATGTCAGTTCTGCAGCGTTCACTGCCCTCCAGGGCTTGAAGAGCAGACATTGAATCGGTGAAGATGACAATATTTTGGGCCTTTGAAGGATAAACATTCATTACAGTCTTTAGGTGGTATACTGCTGTTTCCAGTGTGATTATTTCAGCTTCATAGTTTGAGCAGAATTCCCCGCAGGCATCAAATATCTCTTCAAAAGATCCATCAGGGTAACCTATGTAGATTCCGTAGTCTGCTTTAATGGTGGCTTTGAATGCAGATCCATCAGTATAAACATAGATCCATTCTTCGGGGTAAGAATCAATGGTCTTTAGTGATGAGTTCATAAGGGTGATTGGATCGAACTGTTTAGTTTCTTCGTCTACCAATTTCAACCTGACTTCTGGAGCTTTAAAGAGAGCATGTGGTGGTAAGTTTCTTGCAACATTCTGAGTGTCTTTCTGGGAGGTGGTATCTGTCCTGTACCTCATGTACACAGTGTAAAACCGATTTGTGCTTTATTCTTTGTTTGTATTAACAAACCGCAGATATGAGGTTGTTTCATCACTTGCAAAAACCATGCCATCGAGACGAGATCTTGATATCTTATAAAGAATGAGGGCTACAATGTGGGTTGAAAATTGTTTATGCAACCATAAAGTTGCTAGACGGTTGCAGTGTCACACTCTACTATCAAAAGAATCTTGTTGAGATTTCAGGCCATAGGAACTGGGGAGAATCACCACCACCCAGGATGCCCCATGTGCAGCAACAGACATGACCACTGGTAACTCTTGCTATTAGCCCTTCGTCATCGAGCTGTGACTTGTTTCATTCTAAGATGTCAGAATGGCTCTTACTCCTGCTCGTCGGACAGCCTGTGTTGTTTGGTGTCATGAGCACACCCGATAGACAATGCAACAACGGAGTCATGTTCTCTTTACTAATGAATCTCACCTTACTGAGTCATTCAATGATGGCAGGATCCAAATTTGGAGACAACCAGGAGAGTGATTTACTGATGTCACAATTAGAGAGGGGGTTTATTATGGTAGAGGTTCTGTCATGATCTGGTGAAGCTTCTTCAGAAATGGCAGGACCCCACTCTACGTCATCCAAGGCAACCTGACTGGCCCAAGAATAGAGACGAAATTGAGAGACCAATTGTTCAACCTGCTCTGAAGGCTGTAGGTGGTAATGCCAACCCCCAAGATGGTAACACTCGGTGCTCCATCAAGCACGTGTGGTGAATGACTTTAGTCAGCAATGTTGGATCATCAGGATGGTGTGGTCAGCTCATTCACCTGACCTTTCTCTGATTGAACGCCTCTGTGATGTCCTTGATTGAAAATTGTCATCAAATCATCTCTTGGCAATGAATAATGCACAGCTGACTGCATTTCGTCTTCAAGAATGGCAAGCTGTTTCTCATGATGCTGTTCAAATCCTTCTGAACTTAACCTATCTATGCTGTCTTGAATGCCCTGCTGCAAATGACGGTCATACTCGATTTTAAAATGTCTAGTCGTCCAATATCTATTGTGTGACCTTTGAAAAAGTGTTTGCACACTTCACAGCTTTTGCTGCATCTGAATGTGTCTTTCCATTTTCTTACCCGACATATCAATTTGCCATTTTTACTGACGCTACTTACATTTTAACCAAGGTTTTTCTAAGTGGCCCTTGGCTTCTGATGAGTAGTATAATTGATCTAGGTACATTTCAAATTCAAATTCCCCCCCCCCCCCCCCTCCCCAAGTATGTGTGATTCTAATATAAACAACTCTAAATATTCAGAGAGCTAGTGTATTGCGCTCAGATCCCCATGTATGATCTATGGGAGGAGACTGCAGCTCATATGGAAGACAACTGTGTGTACTCCAGCCAACCTTAACTTATGCTAAACCAAAGCATTTATATAAAAGTATAAAGGGTGTTTAAAGACGTGAGGACTGACTTCACTGTGTTAGGTTTTATTTTATTTGGCTCTCTGCAGAGTGGTTGATCACCAGTGCAATTTTGCACAAATCAGTAACTCCAGCAGCAACCCCTAGGATCTCCACAAAAAATCCTGCACCACAGGGAGAGGGGGAGGGGGTATTGGACAGAAACTAGACCTATTACCTTCAGGACAGAAAATGTAAACTATATCATGATTCAACATCAGTCTTCCCATCACTGTTGGTCTGTGCCAGGAGGAAGCTCATAAAGGTTAAAGAAATAAAGACTTTTTGTGCCACAATGGATGTTTTAACCCTTTTGGTCCCCAAAAAGCACACCCACTGGATATATATAAAATGTGAATCAAGAAAATGCTTGTGTTAACACATTTTTACATCTGTTCTGAACATACATAAGAAATCTGGCTAGATATTTGGACATTCAGCATATTCTCCCTCTTTGGCAGCAATACACTTGGGCTTTTATTCTCTGATGAATGATAAATCTGGACCTGTCTGGAATAGTGTGAAGATAATCCTCACTAATCACTAATGATCAAAATTACCACTGCTGAGCAACCTTCTATAGCTAAAGGAGTTAAAAAAAAAAAATAACTGCCCTGAGACTGAGGCTCATACAGATCAGTGTGATCATATAGAATGTCATGTGATCACATAGAATGTCATGTGATCACATAGAATGTCATGTGATCACATAGAATGTCATTCCAGCTTGAGAAAATATATAAGAGCAGCAGCTGTCCTACGTGAGGATGAATAAGTAGATACCACCTGCATGGTGGTCAGTGAAGATCATGAACTAACTATGATTACAGCAACTATAATGGTCTGATTCATTATTGATGGAATTACAAGAGCAGCAAAATGTCACTCTTCCATAACTTAGAATCTTCATGGTAAGAAGTGTGATTCAGTAAGTTGGAACTCTTGTTATACTGTCCAAATAATAATATTTTATTGGTACAGATTGTCATCATCAGTATTATAATTTCAGCCACAGTTTGAGAATGTACTTTGAAGTATTTGCAGACATTAACACTTAGTGGCTTCCTGTCACTGCATCTTTGAAAGTTCACTGACTCCAGCTTCTGAGGTTTACACCTTGTGAATGTTGTTTATCTAGCAACCTTAGTTCTATTTCATCTCTCAAAATCTTTCTGCTGAAATGAGTAACAAACCAATGACACAACACTTTGAGCCCTCCTATATGTGCTCCATGCCCAGGTTTAACAACTAGCACAGGGTCCTAATATTGGTGCCAATTGTAATCTGATTATATATTCCTCTAGCCTTCCCTCTCTCTGAGTGTTGAGCATTTAGCCAGATACCCCAGTCACTCCCTGCTGCATTACTCTCTCCAGTAGAAAATATTCTGTGTGGTAGCTGGATATGTCAGTCAAAAGGTCACATGCAACAGCTTAGATGTAAAGAGACACAACTCAACAATGAATGAATGAAGAAGAGCACAAACATGACTCACTGTTGTTTAAAGCTAACAAAGCTGCCAGACTGCTGTATGGGGTAGCTGTTAAATCCTGTGTATGAACGTGGATGCCACTGATGTTCAAGCTGCGAAGCTCTGTACAAGCCAGCAGTAATGCTTGCAGCCCACTGATGTCATTGTAGGCTCGTCTTTGTTCCTGACTGTTCTGTTGCTGTCAGAAACAGGTAATGAAGTCAGCTGACTTAATGCATGTGTTTGTTCACTAATAAGCTTATGTGTTTATCACCATTATCATGTTCCATGGTAATAAGCATAGGCAGTCATTGTTCCATGTCTCACACAATCACAAGACTCGGTTATCAGGTCAATGTATTTGCCCTGCCCAAGTCATGCGGCCAAGTACCTATCTCTTTGTCTTCCCCTCATTCTTTTCCTATCAAGTTACCAGTTACTACTAAGTTTCCAAGCGTATCCCTTTGCACAATATGCTAAAAAAAATGACTGTCCTAATTTAATTTAGTCATTTTAAGTTCTCATCCGTCTCAATGAAAACTGCCTTATTGACTAGCAAGTTATAAAATACAAAAGATAAAGAATTTTTTCCATGGTAGCTTTTCTCAGAAGCTGAAATATGTTGGTCATAACAAGCACTATGGTAGACTGGAAAAAACAGTAGCAGAAGGCAAGATACCAGGAAAGGAAGGGGGAGGGGGGTGGAGTTGGGGCCAGCCATGACAAAGATGGGCAAAGAATATAGTAAATCCTTGAAAAGGAAAGTCACAAAGTGAGAGAGCTGATGGGAGACCGAGTTTCTTTCAGGCAGACTGTGATGAGAGCAACATTCTGCAAACAACCTGCTGCATGAAGATGAGTCCCGATAAACTGAGGATATGATGTGTTTTTTTTTAAAACTCATATGTTCTTGACCAAATAGCACTCAATGAGTGATGTGGTCAGTGTCATACTTGCTTATCTCTTCTCCTGGACATTTTCATGTCTATAACAACTTCAAAGTCAAGACAGGGAACAGTCAGTAGAGTGACCATGGGATGGGTGCTCAGTCGGAACGGAAGACTCTAAATACACATAACATATGATGCTGGACTCATATTTTTATAGACCAATCCAAGCTCCATGGGTGATGTGGTAAGCCCCTTTACTTAAGATGAAAATATCTGGTACCAATTTCAGGCAGGATCATGTCATTCTTTGCAATTTTCTCATAAACACTATTTCTGCAGTCACATTTCTTGGCTTGACTTCATACTGTCTGCAGTTCACATGCATACCATAGTACAGGTTCTTCACAGCTCTTTAATGCTTGTCCTGTTTCAATCATTAAATATATAGATTAAATACAATGATTCAAGAAATCATCATCATGTAGCAGATCCTTTGCAGAATGTCACTCTCATCGTGGTCTGCCTGAAAGAAACTGTCTCTCGCCAGCCCTCCCACCTCATGTACTTTCACACTCAAGGAGTCACTTATATCCCGTGCCCATCTTCATGTTGGTCGGCCCCTGCCCCTCCTTCCTGGTACCATGCCTTCTGCTATAATTTGTTCCAATCCGTTGTGGCACTTGATATGACCAAAATATTTCAGCTACCGAGACAGGGTGCTGTTTATTAGCCAATCTTCCTTGATGTTCAGATCTTTCAAGATGTCAGTATTTCTCCTCTTTTTCGTCCAAGATATTCTAAGAATCTGTCTATAGCATTTCAGCTCAAAAGCCCCTATTCTCTTTCTTAAGGACTGGGAGATAGTCCACGACGCACATCCGTATGTTGCTACAGGAAAGATGCATGATCTCAAAATTATAATTTTGATCTTCTAGCTGATGCTTAACCATAGACTTTTTAGGCTGTTTAATCTTTGCATTGCTATGGCCATCCTCCTTTTAATTTCTGTCAAACAGTCTCCATTGCTATTTATTATAGGGCCTAGATATTCAAAGTTTGTGACATTTTCAATTTCTTGCCCATTTATTGTTATTTTTTGGGTGATAGCCAGTTTTATCTGTGGACATTATTTTTGGTTTCTTTAAATTCAAGAACAGATTTTGATTCAAGAAATAGACCTTGTATAAGACAAATATGTGGTACAATTTTCTTGCAATTTTCTGACCTGCCCTAACACCCAGTTACTGCCAGTTGGTCTATACACAAATGTGTCTAGCATCATATGTCCAATGTGCTGCTGATACGAAGAGAGTCCTTGACTTTACTTAACTATTTAATATATTCTGATGGAACTCAGACACACAATCACATATGATTGAAAGCCAAAAAACATGAATAGCAGCTGGAAAAACAGTGAAAGAAAATGTGAGAGGTGTGTGCACATAATGATTCTAATTGCAACAATATACTTGTTTATTCAACCATTACAAATGATTTAATCTCAGCTACAAAAAAAGAAATATATTATGACGTCAAACTCAATTTAAATGCACTGGCTTCCCATTATTTATGTAACAATAACAATAAAGGTGACAGGATGTATGTGCAAAACCAACAGACATTTCACAAAACAACACAAGAAAACAAGTACTTTTTTGGGGGTCAAGGTAATCAAATAGCAAATACTGCTGTAGGGGATGTGAGCTACTCATGATTTCATCAGTTTGGTCCATAATGAGCTACTGATTTTAAAATAATCAAGTAATACAAAGTTTATTGATCGGCACTCATAGAAAGAAGTATAAAGATACATGAACACACTAGACAACATAAAAATCAAAAGCTACAGTTACCGTGCTGGTAATTGAACCTGTCACCTCCAGACAGCGTGTGTGCCTCGCCATGGATACAAGTGCACTAAGAACATGGTCAACTAGGCACCTCCCAAAAAATGGTGTCTTATTGGCCATGTCTATTGTACAGCTTGAAATCCATAACTATGGAATACGGACAGAATTCATTTCAAACCATTGAAATGGCACTATAGGTTACAGAAATAGCCATTATTCCAATGTGCAGTAACTGCTGCACATGGCATTGATAACATGGCTTCTGTCCAGTGCACAATCAGGCATAGCAACCGCAGTGTCTGCAAGATCATTTGCATACTCGTTGCCTCAAACATTTTTGTGACCTGGCACAAAGACAAAAGTTAGACCCGCCATTCGTGAAGTGCTTAGTGACACAATTCATTCTTGTCTGATGAACCCAGCCTGGATTTTCTTGAGCATTTCCACTGAGTTACTAAGTACAACATGTGTGTGAACTCTTGGGTAGCCAGCCACGCTAATGCCCATGTTACAGCTAGTTTCCACTGTGAGGCTGCTTAATGGTTTCCCGTTTGAGCTCACTGTGAAACACCCATGCACTTTGCTTGTCCTGAAATACTGATCAGTACATGTGAACTAAAGCATCATCTTCATCTGTGTTTTCATTATTCAGCATTCTGACTAAGTGGTCCACTATGCCAGGAATCTACTCTCTGTCAAGAGTGATAT